CGGCCGCCCCATCTCGCCGCGCCCTGTCTTAGCCTTTAAGCGCGGCAGGGCGTCGCCGAGAAAGTCTTGGGGAATTGCGCTGACCGCCAAGGCGAAATCTTCGAGGGTCTCTCAATGTGGGGGTGGCGCTAGTTCTGGGTTGGGCAACCCCGCGAAGAACGCCGCGCCGACGTGGAAATGGGGGGGGGGGGCGGGGGGGGCGGGCGTGATGCCTTGGCCGCCATTCGCCTTCTCCGCGTGAGCATTGCCTTCCGCCGCGCTTGCGTGCATGGCCGCGCTGCCCGCCTCCGCGTGGTAGGAGTCGCGCAGTCGTGCTAACTGCGCGTTGTTCCAGCTTGTCTTCTTGATCGCGCCCAGCTGCCCCGCCGCGCCCGCGCTGTCTGATTCGCGCGATTTGCCTTTGCCTTTCCTTCCCCCCCGCCAGCTCCTCCATGGCGCTTCAGAAGTCGCTCCTCTCCCTCGGCCGATGCGCCCGCGGCGTGCGCCCGAGGCCTCAACCCGTTGCTTCCGCTCGCCCCTGCTCTCCGCCACATTGCTGGGGCCGCCGGCGCGGGCCCTGGCGTGCTCGAGATGTGTGTCGAGTTCAATATCTGCAAGACCGCGTGCGCCGCCATGGCGCGCCGGCAGTCCCGGGCCGGAAATTGAACGGCGCGGCTCGCGCGGGGCAGGAAAGGCGGGGCGCGCTATGACACCGCGCGAACGCGCGCCGAGCAAGACGCCCTGATCGCAAGTACTGTCCGGCACCAATGACATGCGTTTTGTAGTTGCCAATGCCGAGTGCAGGTTCCTCACTTGGTGAGCATGCGTTACATGTGCTGCGAGGGCTCGCGCGTCGTTGCGCGCGCAGCTGCGCATCAGGTCGCCGTCAATCTCTCGCGTGCGCATGCGTTCTCGACCCCCGTGTCGCTGTCGATTTGCGCCTCTGGTGTTCCCGCATCTGGTGTTCCTATCTTGTTGGCTTCTGCTTCCGTCGTTTCTTGGGGTCTAGATCTGGCGATGCCGCGTTCCATATTCGGGCGCCCTCGTCGCCGAGATGCTGCCTGGGACCCCCCGCGCGCATGTGGCCCGAGAGCTCGGCCGACGTCGGGGCCCTGGACATGTCGACCGGCATTGTGTTCTGCGCGTCCAACTCTGTGCAAACGGAAGCGCGAACGTCGCCGGCATCTCGGGGTCGCCGTGGCACCGTGCTGTCTATGGAGTGCTACGTCGGTTCTGCGTGCCATCGGGGTAGATCCTGCGCCTTCCGAGCTGGTGGTCGACCTCTGTGGCCCTGGGCGCCGCCGTCGGCGCGCGCGGTCGCGGGGCGCTTCGGCGGCGCTTTGCCGCCGACGCAATAGCTGGATGCGCGGCTCGGGGGCCGTCGGGCTGATCTTCCCATCTCCGAAGTCCGCCGTTTCATATGGCCCTCGTTCCTTGCTCGCAGTCGGACGCGGCCTTGCCTTCCATTGAACAGCTTAGAGATCGCGTCGACGCAGTCCAGCGCGTCGGTCAACTGCTCGGGCAAGACAGAAGCGGCGAGGCCCGCGATGGCGGCGCCGGGCGCGCAACGGGGGGACCGCGTGCGATGCTGTCTGCGGTGGTGAGTCTAGCTCTGTTCACAGGGCCCCGTCGAAGCTGGGGGCGGGGCGAAGGATTCGCGCACCCTGCAGATCGCCCCTGTCTCCCAATTGCCCGGATAGTTCACTGGCCGTTTCGAAGGGGCCTGGGCGGCGAGTGCTGACATGTGTTTCGTCTTATCTGCGCGCGAGCGGTGCTCGCGTGCGTGAGTGCGCCTCTGCAGCGCGTTCGCGGCATAGTTCAACTGCTTCGACATGCGCTGTGCCCAGGGTGCGCGCGCGCCGGCGCGCGCCCGCGATGCGTCGCCTACAAACGACCCGGCCCCGATTTCAACGATTTCTTTACTGATCGCGGCCACTGAGCACGCATCGGCCTTCTGTTCGGTTGCATTGCATGCGCTTCGGCGTCTTCCGCGTGCATCCGCTTCGGCGGTTTTCCTGCGTGTGACTGCGTCCGTCTAATCCGCCCATCTGCGACGCCAGGTGAGCATTCGCATACGCAAGCCTTTCCTGGCTCAGCGTTTCGCGACGGTGTCGTTACCTCGCCGCTGGAAGAAACGTGTGTGTGTGCATGTGTGCCTGTCACGGTGTATCATTGTGAACATGTGCACGCGCGTGCGCGCGGGCGAGCGCCTGTGCGCGAGAACTTGCGAACGCCTTATGTGTGAGGCTGACAACGCCAATGTGCAACATCACTCCGCAGCAGGGCCTCGTCAATACACACTTCCCAGTGGACTCATGAACATTTAACGAGGCCAGTTCCAGGCGGTCGGGATACAAGCAGGGAGCCTGCATCACGAGTGCAACACAAACCAAATAATGCCTTGGTGATTGAGAGCACAGGAGCTTCGATCTGACTAGTCGGCGGGACATTGTCCCAGTTCGAGGCGACGCACGGGCATCAATCTGAGAGAGCGTGATCCACCGCCGCTTTACTGTGGAAAATTGCCAACCTTTTCCTCCAGAACCCGGGGGTCCCCCCCCCCCTCCTCCGAAAATCCCCCCCCCCCTGCTGACCCCCCCCCCCCCCCCCCCTTCCCCCGGCAAAACCCCCCCCTCCTAACCCCTCCCCCCCCCCCCCCCCCTCCCCGCTCGAAAACCGGGGGGGGTCACTACCGGTTCGAACCCCCCCCCCCCCCTCCGGATCGGAAAACCGGGGGGGGGTCACTACCGGTTCGAACCCCCCCCCCCCTCCCCCCCCCCCCCCCCCCCCTACTCACCGCCAGCAAACGACTCCCGGTCCCCACCACCGTCCGCATCACATCCCCCACTGGTGTTCCCAGCACCACTGTCCTCACCACCGCTGTCCCCACTGGTTCCACCACCGCCCCTACTGTCCCCACCAGTGGCCCCACCACTGTCGCACTGTCCCCGCTGTCCCCAGAACTGTTCCCACCACGGTTCCACTCTCCCCACTGTCTCCACGGCCCCAACCACTGCCCGACTATCCCCACTGTCCCCACTGTCCCACTGACTCCTCCGCTGTCCCACTGAGCTGTCCCACTGTTCCCACCACTGTCCCCACTGTCCCCACCACTGTCCCCACTGTACCTCTGTCCCATTGTCCCACCGCCGTCCTCGCCACCGCCTTCACCACTGTCCCCACCACCATTGTACCCTCCACTGTCCCACTGTTTCCACCTCATTCCCATTGTCCCCACACCACTGTCCCCACCACCACCGTCACCACCACTGTCCACTGTCCCCCCCTGTTCCCACCATTGTCCCCACCACTGTCCCCACCACTACCGTCCCCACCACTGTCCCACTGTCCCACTGTCCCCACCACTGTCCCGCTATCCCCTCACCACTGTCCCCACCAACACCGTCCCCACCACTGTCCGCACCCCCACTCGGTTTTCGAGGGGGGGGGGGTTCGAACCGGTAGTGACCCCCCCCGGTTTTCCGGATCCGGAGGGGGGGGGGGGGGTTCGAACCGGTAGTGACCCCCCCCCCTTTTCATGATGAGCTGGGGGGGGGGGGAGGGGTTCGAACCGGTAGTGACCCCCCCCGGTTTTCCGGAGGGGGGGGGGAGGGGTTCGAACCGGTAGTGACCCCCCCCGGTTTTCCGCCAGCAGCGGTAGAACACGCTCTTTCATCAATCTAATACTAGACGAGGGTTAGATCAGCAAGGAAATGACCGGCGATAACAGACATCCAATAAGACAACCCGCTGAACCGACCATCGCACGTACACAAAAAGTACGAAAACTGACAAACAAGAAATTACACTACACGTCGATGGTAGCGACTCAGTGCAGGTCCAGCCTGACTCAGCTCGGCACAGGTATCTTAAGGACGATCATGTCTTAACGGTCTTAACCAGCTCAAGGCTTCCAGTGGCAGCGTGGCGCGGTGTTAGGTGCGCCGCGGCAGGCAAGGATGCGGAACAAGGATGACCTTGTACGCCTGCCACGAGCGCCAACCTCGTGCTGCCCACCCTGGATACTCCTCGCTCGTGAGCGGCGCGCCACGGGGGGGAGTGAGAGGGGGGACGGCCTTCTCACACGGCAGCGGGGCTTCTCAGAAGCACCCGCGCCTTCTGAGGAGCCACTTGCGGTCTCGGACAGAGCCTCAGACTCGGGGGCGCGCAAACATGCATAGAGATCCATGGATTTGGCGCGCGGTCGCCAAATCCGTGGATCGGGGGAGGTGCTCTCCCCAAAATGCCACCAGTGCCGCCTCGTTCGGCGACGGAAGTCCGCGATTTCCTATGGAAACGGGACCCGTCGCTAATCCACGCCCCCTTGATCCACATTTGTGATCGCCTGGCAGACGGCTTCTCCCACAAGCGCGGGAGCTTCTGAGAAGCACCGCCGCCATCTGACAAGGCCGGCCCACTCCGCCTTCCCCAGACGGCGCGCCGCCGAGCTCCGTCTCGCCCGCCGCTTCTCAGAAGCTCGTTCTGGGGAGCTTCCCAGAGCCACTCGCTCCACTCGTGCGTCGATGCTGCGTCGAGCGTCCGCCGACTCGAACCGATCATGGGCCGCATTTGAGCCGAGCTGGAGTCGAGCTGGAGTCGAGCTAGCGTCGAGCTGATAAGTAAGGTTGGCCCCAGAAAAGGCCCTCCCAAAACGAACGTCCACCTCCCCCCCCTACTCATCCAGCATGACACCTACAGGGGAGACGACGAGGGCGAGGATGGCAACGACGAGGGCGACGGCAACGCCGACGCCGACGCCGACGTCGCCGACGAAGGCGACGACGAGGGCGACGAGGGCGACGACGACGATGACGACGACGACGGCGACGACGAGGACGACGAGGACGACGATGACGACGACGACGGCGACGACGAGGATGACGAGGACGACGATGACGACGACGACGACAAGGAAGGCGAGGAGGACGAGGAGGACGAGGAGGACGACGAGGACCACGAGGACGACGACGAGGACGACGACAGCGTAGCCCCCGCCGTGGCGTGGGCGGGGCATAATAGGCCTCGGGCAGGCGGCGGCGGCCCTGGAGTGCGCCGCCGCCCGGGACGGGCTTCAGCACGTCCGCGTCTGGGCCGACGTCCTGTGGGGGATGGAGGCTCGGAGCTGCACCCAAATATTCGGGGCTCCGAAGAAATGGAAGCGTTTTTTTTCGGCCTCTGGCGGCACTCGACGGGCCCCGGGACTGTCAACAAAGGGCTCGGGACGAAAAGCTGGCCCCAGGGAAGTGGTCTAGAACTCTGGGGGTCTCCGCGCAGAAAAAAATAGCAGCGCCGCAAGTCTGGGAGCGGCCTGAGGCCGTTGATCGGCGACGCGGACATTGGGGGGAAGGCAGAAAAGGCGGGCCTTCTCAGATCTGGGATCTACCGACCCGGTTCAATGCAAGCCTGGGCGGGTCAAGCTTTGCAGGGTCCTGCGCGCTAGCACGGGTCCGTGCACTCCTGGCCCTGCAGGATGCTGCAAGAGCTGGCGCTCTGGCTGATCCCCGTCTGCGTTGACCCCCGTCTCAAGGCTCCCGATCGGACGGCCCATGATGGGCCTGTTTTCCACCACCACCACCATAAGTTGGAGGGGGGAAAGAGGGGGATGAAGAGGAGGAGGAGGAGGAGTAGGAGGAGGAGATGGAGGAGGAGGAGGAGGAGGAGGAGGAGGAGGAGGAGGAGGAGGAGGACCCCCTCCCCCTCAAACTTCTGGTGGTGGTGGTGGCGGCGGAAAACGAGCCCATCCGCCCTGGAGGCCTCCAGCGGCCTTCCCCGAGACGCCTCCCGAACCCCCCTCCGAAGCCGGGCAGGGCGCTCCCCAGAAGGCCGCAGGGCCTCCGAGGAGCCCCGCCGCCCCCTGGCGCCAGGCCCCCCCCCCCCTCGCGCTGCCGCCCTCGGCGGGCCGCCGGCCGTGGAGGCTCGGGGTGCCGCGGGCGGCCCGCCCCCGAGCTGCTGAGCCAGAGGTCGTTCCGCGGCCTGCGTGGGGGCGCCCTCTGGCCACCGCCTCCCCAGCACGAGGGGCCCGTTCCTCCCACCACCACCACCACAAGTTGGAGGGGGGGGGGTCCTCCTCCTCCTCCTCCTGCTCCTCCTCTCATCCTCCTCCTCGGCTTCCTCCTCCTCTTCACCCCCCTCTTCACCCCCTCCAACTTGTGGTGGTGGTGTTGGAAACGGGCCCATCACAGCAGGCAGCGGCGGCGGCGGCGGCAGCGGTGCCACTCCCAAGCGGGAGGAGAAGGCAACCGTGCTCGGCCTGGAGACGGCCCTCGCTGCTCGTTTGGCGGGGGGGGGACGCAGCCGCAGAACCCAGAGAGGCTGGCCAACGGTGTCGCATCGCACAGCAGTGCATCATTCGGATCGTGGCCACCACAGTCGGGCCGCTGAAAGAAGGAACGCTTCATAGGGAACGAAGCCCCTTCTTGGCCCTGTCAGCGCCTCCGCGCTCCAGGCCCCAGGAGGGCAAGAGGAACAGCACTGGAGGAACCCAAAGAACATCGAGCCCCTTCCGAACCCAAACTGTTCCTTCTTTCGGCGTCTTGGCTGCACTGCCGTGGTCGTTGCGTTTCCCGGGCGTCCGACGCCGCGATGCTTTCTCGCGGCGCGGCTCCCCACAAGCCTGGACCCCTGCCTGAGTTGGTCGCCCGAAATGGGTACGGAAAGAATGGGTACAATGCCCAACAACAAATGCTGTCCCAAACCAGCAGCGGCCGCTGTTGGGCAGGCGGCCCTCTGTCTCGAATGGACACAGGCCGCGGCGGCGCGGGCAGCGAGTCCTGTTCAAAATGAACAGGATGCGCTGTTGGGCGTTGTGCCCCTTCTTTCCGTGCCCACTTCGTTCGTGCAGACCCGAGGACGGTGGTTTCCTCCCGGGGTACTCTCTCTCACGGTCCCAGGCCTGGCAAGGGGCCCCGGAGGCCGAGGCTCGAGTCGGGCATGTCCCCCTACAGGCAAGGCAGATTCTGGACGAAGCGTAACATAGATGCAAACACCAGAGGCCGAGGCTTAAGTCGGGCATTGTCCCCCTACAGGCAAGGCAGGTTCTGGACGAAACGTAAAACAGATGCAACACACACATACTCCCGAATGGCCAGACATCGTCAAAAAAATCGCCCCCGACTATTTTTGGCCTGTTTTTGAATCTTCCCCCTGTAGAGGGACAGGCCCGACTTAAGCCGAGGTCTGGGACGCACAAGGGCATACCAGCACGACGTGCCCCCCCCTCGAGGCGTGCGCCCGACCCGAACACACATCGATGGCAACACATCGACTGGGGAGCGCTGGTGGGCGGCCAGTTTTCCACCACCACCACCACCATAAGTTGGAGGGGGGAAGGAGGAGGAGTTGGAGGAGGAGGAAGAAGACGAGGGGGAGGAAGAATACGTAAGAAGAAGAGGAAGAAGAAGAAGAAGAAGAAAAAAAAGAGGGGGAGGAGGACGAAGAAGAAGAGGGGGAGGAGGACCCCCTCCCCCTCCAACTCACGGTGGTTGTGGTGGTGGAAAACGGGCCCATCAAGCGGCATGGCCAGACAGCGCCCGCCACGGAGCTTGTACAACAAGACTCATCGGCGCGCGCGTCGCCCCTCGTGGGGGGGGGGCGGCGCACGCATAGCATGAGCATGTTGGGGTGACGCCAACTTTCAGGAGTGGCGCACGCATAGCATTAGCGTGTTGGGACCACTGAAACTTTCCCAGGGACCAACTTTTCATCCCGAATCGTGCCTTGTTACCGTCCAAGGGACTGGGGAAGGCCCAAGAACCCGAAAACGGCGATAAACCTCCGGGAGCATGTTGGGGCGACGCCAGACAGCTGCCAAGCGCACTGCGTCTTCTTCTCGCCGCACGAGGCGGCCAAAGCTCGCACCTGTGCGCAACAGCTGTGCTGCTCAGATCCGGGCCTCGACGTCCGCGCAGCGCCCCCGAAAAGCAGAAAAGTGCGAAAAGTGCGAAGCACAGAAAAGTGCGAAGCACAGAAACGTGCGACATTAGAATAATAGAAAGGCGCGAAAAGTAGAAACGTAGAACAGTGCGAAAAATGCGGGAAGTTGGGCGAAGCGTTCGAAGAGCGCTCGAAACATAGAAACGTGCGTCACTTACAAAAGTGAGAAAACCGCAAACATTGAGATCAACGAGGCGCACGAGCGGCCGAAGAGCGCAAAGTGTTCGAAGGGCGCGCGAAAAATGCGCAAAACACGAAGCGCACAAGAAACGCAACATGTTCAGACAACAAGGCGTCGCCGTGGGAGATAAGCGAAACAACCGAAACACATGTGAAACTAGGGAGACGAAGTAGCATAACAAATCGCAGGACTGAGACGCGGAAGCCTGCAACTAACTGAGAAAATAAATGTCTTGTAAGAGGCCCAAACATAAGAAACTTGACAGACAAAACGAATCATTGCAAAACCAAAAACGACCAGAGAGAAGACTGCCAGGCTGTAAATGCCACGGAATACCCCGTCTCGTTCCTCCTCTTCTGCTTTTCCTTACGTAAGTGGAAGACGCAACATGCGGAAACGAGTACGAGATAAACAGGACACAGAAAACATGTGAAACACACGCGAGCGCGAGAAACGCGAACCACGGAAAACCGAGAACACGGGGCGCGCGCAAGAGCCGGGCGAAAAAACACGAAGACTGGAGACGCATCCAAAACGGAAATATATTTCTTACGGGACACCCTCTTCCGCCTCCCAGAGGGCGTTCACGATACCCCCAATACATGTACAACTGGCCTCTGGGCCACAACCCAGGCACTATTGGCACCACTTGGGTCACATTGTCTGGCCAAGAGGCCTCTGGTCCACAAGCCAAGCACGGTGGCGGGATGGGCCGGAGATCAGAAAATGCAATCTTTCTCCTCTCCTGCATTGCGCGCCGGCCACCCGGAAAGCCGCCGAAAAAAGTGCACTCCCTCGGTCTTCTCCTCGAAGATGGCCCCAAGATGGGCTCCGAGCCGCTAAGATGGCCCATGTGCGCGCTAGGTGCGCGCCAGGTGCGACAGGTGCGAAAGGTGCGCCAGGTGCGCCAGGTGCGCCCAGCGCGTCAGGTGCGTCAGGTGCGCCCAGCGCGCCAGGTGCGCCAGGTGCGCGCCAGGTGCGCCAAGGGGACAGGGAGGCCTCAAAGTGATCTGTGTAGGACGTACCTCCGCTGGACCTCCCATGAACCCAGGCTGGCCGCAAAGATGCCTCCAAAGCGGCCAAGACGGCCCCAACAGAGAGCCCAAGATGGCGCCAGGATGCGCCCAAGACGGCCCAAGAGGCACCCAAAGCGGCAGAAGATGGCCTCCGCATGGCCGGGAGGAGATGGGGAGGATCGGAGCACAGCGGGGAGGAGTGAGGCACGGAGTGCAGAAGGGGTGACTGTGGACGAGCGGGGAGGACAGGGGAGAGAAGTGGAGTCGAGGAGGAAGAGGAGGAGGAGGAGGAGGAGGAGGAGGAGGAGGAGGAGGAGAAGGAGGAGGAGGAGGAGCGGGGCCAGGAGCAACGCGAAAGTTGCCAAGGAGCGAGGAGTAGTGGTATTGACCAGGGTGGGAATGAACGGGAAGGAGTTGGACGGAGAGCAATTGAGTGAAGCGGGGCGGGGGGAATGGGAGGAGCGCGAAGGAGCGATGAGCAGTGTAATGGAGCGGAGTGGACAAGACTGCGAACAAATGGGAACGAGTGGGGAGGAGTTGGAAGGAGCGGGAGGGAATGGAAAAGAAAGGGAAATAGTTAGAAGGAGCGGATTGAAGTTGGGAGCACGGGAAAAAAAAGAAGAGGACTGGGGAGGAGTGGGCAAAAGTGGGGAGGAGCGCGGAGGGGAGAAGGGGATTAGAACTGAACGGGGAGGCGCGGAAGGAGTGAAGAAGTTTGCGGGGGCATGCAGGGACTGGGGGCAGGAGCAACGTGGAGGGAGGCGGGAAAGGGTAGAAAGGAGGGGAGGGATCGAGAAACGAGGGGGAGCGGGGAGGCGGCAGGAAGGAAGAGAAGGGGGAACTGGGGGAGGAGGTGGAGCACGCAGCCGATGCCCAGTGCTCTACGGAGACACCCGGAACGACTTACGCTCCACGGTGGAAGGCGCCAACCCGAGGAACGCGAGGGCGCGGCTTTGCCGAGGGCACGACG